ACAACACAACACAACACAACAAACACAAACAACACAACACAACACAACAAACACAACACAATAAACACAAACAACACAACACAACAAACACAACACAACAAACACAACACAATAAAAAACAACACAACAAACACAACACAATAAACACAACACAATAAACACAACACAACAAACACAACACAACAAACACAACACAATAAAAACAACACAACAAACACAACACAACAAACACAACACAATAAAAACAACACAACAAACACAACACAATAAACACAACACAACAAACACAACACAACAAACACAACACAATACACACAACACAATAAACACAAAAAACACAACAAACAACACAATACACACAAAAAACACAACACAACACAACACAAGAAACCCAACACAATAAAAACAAACAACACAACACAACACAACACAACACAAGAAACACAACACAACAAACACAACACAATAAAAACAAACAACACAACACAACACAACACAACAAACGCAACACAATACACACAAAAAACACAAAAAAACACAACAAACACAACACAACACAAAAAACACAACACAACACAACACAACAAACACAACACAACAAACACAACACAACATGAGGTGATGCGTTCACATCTGCTCGTTTCAAACTTTCACTACGAGTCTGTTTTGTACATTTCTCTGCAGACGAAGAGCGGAGCATCACAGAGATCAAAATCAAAGCAGAGCATTCTGAATCATCCAAAGCCTCCACATTAAGACAGGAAGTAAACGCTCAGCGCTCCTCCTGCGTCTCTAGTTTTACCTTTTTGTGCGTCGGAACATGTCGCAGGTTTCTAGGCGTCGCTCGAGGCAACAGGAGCAGAAAGAGGCGAGGGCGAGTCAGAGAGCGTCAGGGCTCATCGCAATACAAAACAAACTGACGCTGCTTCAACCTTTAGATGTCTGTACGGTGTGTGTGTGTGTGTGTGTGTGTGTGGCAGAGAGAGAGAGGAGAGAGAGAGAGAGGAGAGAGCGAGGACGAGAGAGAGAGAGGAGAGAGAGAGAGAGGAGGAGAGAGAGAGAGAGGAGGAGAGAGAGAGAGAGGAGCGAGAGAGAGAGAGGAGGACAGAGAGAGAGGAGAGAGAGCAAGGAGGAGAGAGAGAGAGAGAGGAGAGAGAGAGAGGAGAGAGAGAGAGAGAGGAGAGAGAGAGGAGAGAGCGAGACGAGAGAGCGAGAGAGAGAGAGAGAGGAGGAGAGAGAGAGAGGAGGAGCGAGAGAGAGAGAGGAGGAGAGAGAGAGGAGAGAGCAAGGAGGAGAGAGAGAGAGGAGGAAAGAGAGAGAGAGGAGAGAGAGGAGGAGAGAGAGAGAGAGAAAGAGAGAGCGAGAGGAGGAGAGAGAGTGAGAGAGAGAGAGAGAGAGAGAGTGAGAGAGATAGAGAGCGAGAGGAGGAGAGAGAGAGAGCGAGAGGGAGGCAGGGTGGGTCTGTCTTTAAGAGAGGAGAGAGAGTGAGAGAGAGAGAGGAGAGAGAGAGAGAGGAGAGAGAGAGAGAGGAGAGAGAGAGAGAGAGAGAGAGGAGGAGAGAGAGTGAGAGAGAGAGAGAGAGAGGAGGAGAGAGAGAGAGGGAGGGAGGGATGGAGGGAGGCAGGGTGGGTCTGTCTTTAAGAGAGGAACAACAAAAGGCAGCAGGGGATTGTGGGTTCTCAAGGCTGAAGATGCTTCAGAGTGAAATATGCAGATTTGTCTCAGACTGGGGATGAAAGAATAAAAGAATCTGATGTGGAGTTAAAAGCTTTTTTTTTCTCTGCAGGCTGCATGGCGTGAATGAATGAAGCCGAGAGGGAATCTTACTCAGCAGAGAGTGAAGATATGAGTGAAGGACGAGGTCATGTGGACTGTTACGTAACATGAGAGGCAGATGTTGAATGGAAAATAAAAAAGGATTCTGATGACGATGAATACGTCACACACACACACACACACACACACACACACACACACACACACACACACACACACACACACACACACACACACACACACACACACACACTGAATGACAGAGGGAAGCAGACAACAGATTCTTATGAGAAATATCCAGAAGGAAATGACAGATTGTGGGATTCACTTTTAAAGTAAACCTCCTGTACGTTAAGAAAGCCAGTATGTCCTCCTTCTAACTTTAGATTCTGCTCCTGAATGCTCTGGATTTGTTTGGACCAGAGAAGGAAGGCGCTTTTAAGGCCGTTTTGGACGCCCCTCGGTTTGTCAGATATGAGAGCAGTTATCAGGTGAACAGGTGTTGCAGCGATGGAAGCGGTCAAGAGAAGTGGTTCAGATAGAAGTGATTGTACCCGACCTAAAAAGCCTCTGCATGTTTCTAATAAGCTCCACGAGCAGAAACGTGCTCAAACTAGGATCAATATTGGAGATGCTTTTGAAAAATGGAGAGAGGTTAGAACACAGAAAGGTTTACAGACCCATGCAGAGCTGGATAAACACTGAAGCTTCAGAGTCCACCACATGGTGACCTGAGTGAGCATCCACTCTAGAGAGAGGGGGGGGGAGAGAGCTCTACATGATGTTTAGAATTTAGACTGCAGTACCCATTTTAAACACTAGGGGTCAGAGTTACATACTGCTCCTTTAACATGGAGAAAATCACAGAGAACTGTGAAGGAGAAAGACTCAGAGATAGAGAGGGAGAGAGGAAGTGGCTCTTATAGAAACGAAAGATTGTCTGCGGCTTCATTTCATGTTTGATTAGCCGTGATGAGTGAGGATGAGGACGAGGAGGCTGCACAAAGAAGACGGATGGTGCAGGAGACAGGACACAAGGGGAGGGAGGAGACGGACTGCAGAGAGACACACACACACACACACACACACACACACACACACACACACACACACACACACACACACACACACACACACACACACACACACACACACACACACACACACACACACACACACACACACACACACACACACACACACACACACACACACACTCTTACTCAGTGGAGCATTATGGTCATAATGAAGCACATTAAAGAGCCTTATTAAGTCACTGCAGATCTTTAATCTGACGCTCTCTTCATAGTGATCTATACGTGCTGCAGAGAGGGAAGAAGTGCAGATAGATTTCTTAAAGCAAAGCTTCAAATGTCAATAAATAATCATCATTTACTTTCTTGCTGAAGATCTATTCGTCTCTTATGCTTGGACTTATTAAATGTATCTTCAGCAGCAGTTTAAAGGTCTGTTGTCTGTCTGTGTTGTGGGTGTAGCAGCATGCAGCATGATGCAGCAGGTCTGTTTGACTGAGGGCGGGGCCGACTGACACAAACACACACAGAGCACAAAGACCTGCTCGCCGTTTAGGACAGTTAACAGAAGTTATTTTCAGCCGTCAGTCTGTTGAGAGGTGACCAGGAAACATTACAAGATGCTTTTCACTGATTGGTCACGGGTAGTGGATACATCATATCTGCCACAATATTTTGGTTAATTTGGACGTTACGCTCTACAGCTCGTAGATGCATCGTACATCTCCATGGTAACCAAACAATGACACGACTTAAGTTAGAACCACAGACTGAAACTATGACTAAACGAAGCCTGAGTGTCGTCACCTGTCTGTTCCTGCAGGGGGCGCTGGAGTCCCATCGATGGCGGTCTCCATGCTGGAAATGCTGTCTCAGTCTAACTTTCAGTCAACCTAACGACAGCCTGAGAGCTGGAGCTGAGGCGGGTTTTAAACCTCCTGACAAACCGTTACACCGCGCCCACCTGTCAATCAGGTCAGCTACACGCCTTATTGTGAATAACTCTTATCCTTCATCAAATCAAAACTGATGAGTCATCAAAACATTCACCCCCCGTACAGTGTGTGTCCATCCAGACATGAGCTAATCACACCTATTTGGTTTTTTGAACCAGGCTGTAAACATGTTCATCTCTGCTGTAAAAACAGGCTTTTTAGAATGGGTGTGTATGTGACTTCCTGTGCTTCTGCAGCCAGCCTCTAGTGGACACTCCAGGAACTGCAGGATTTTACACTTCAGCATCAGCTTCATTTTTCAAAACCATTAGCAAGACAGATTCTAAGTGTTTACATGAGAGACAGGTTTGAGAGGGGTGGAGACGAGTGCAGAAAAGAAAGAGGTAAACAACAACTGAGCATTAGCAGGAGGGAGGGAGAGGATGACTGGAAAAAGGCAGAATGGATTTCAGCAGCATGGACGGAATTTAAACGTCCAGGCTGGTCTTAATCAGACTCGGACAGACTCCCAGCATCCCTCTGACATCTCCTCCTCAATCAAGACGAGGACAACACACCCCTCACAAACACAAACAGCTCCTCTCCAACGTCCTCAGAGCTTTAAAAACACACCCTGCTAATCATCACGCTCAGCAGCTGCTCTGTGTGTGCTATTGTTTTTCTTCAGTTTGTCCCGAGAGAGGGAGAGAGAGGGGAGAAAAGACAGAGTGAGAGAGAGAGAGGGAGAGGGAGAGAGAGAAAAGACAGAGAGAGAGAGGGAGGAGAGAGAGGGAGAGAGAAGACAGAGAGAGAGAGAGGAGAGAAAAGACAGAGTGAGAGAGAGAGAGGAGAGAGGAGAGAAGACAGAGTTAGAGAGAGAGAGGGAGAGGGAGAGAGAGAAAAGACAGAGAGAGAGAGGGAGGAGAGAGAGGGAGAGAGAAGACAGAGAGAGAGAGAGAGAGAAAAGACAGAGTGAGAGAGAGAGAGAAAAGACAGAGTGAGAGAGAGAGAGGGAGAGAGAGAGAAGAGAGAGAGAGAGAGAGAGAGGGAGAGAGAGGAGAGAGACAGAGAGAGAGAGAGAGAGGAGAGAAAAGACAGAGTGAGGGAGGAGAGAAAAGACAGAGTGAGGGAGGAGAGAGGGAGGAGAGAAAAGATGGAGTGAGGGAGGAGAAGGAGAGAGAGATGAAGGAGAGAGGTGGAGATGGAGGCGAGGTAGAGAGGGAGAGAGGAAGGGATGAACGGAGGTAACACTCACCTGCTGTTCTTGCGAGGCAGGGGCAGATCCTTCTAGAAGAAAGACAGAAAAAAAGACAAACAAAGAGATCAGGTACAGAAAAAATCTAATTTAAACTTTCACAGAGTAAAGAAACATTTTCAAACCAGTCAGCCAAAAAAAATAAAAAATGCTTTGACACATCACCCCCCCCCCCTCTCTCTCTCGGGCCCAGATGGACAGTGAACATTGGACTGAAGCCGCAGCAAACACTCCCTGCACCGCATTAAAACAGTGTGAGCAGAGCCAGATCTCATGTGAGCACATCCTAGCTCTTTACAAAAACCTGCACACAGAGAGAGAGGGAGGGAGGGTGTAAACAAAGGGGGGAGAGGTGTGGAGGTGTGTGCCTCAGGTGTGAGCCGTCACACAGCGTATAGTAGCAGATGTAATTAATGCATTAGCTGCTTCACGCCCTCTCCCAGCGCCTGCAGGGTAATGTTGTTACGCTGCTGTTAGCTTAGCATCGACCGCCTCCACACCACACACGAGCCAATTATCAGGTTAACCTTCACATAAAGATTTTCTATGTGTGTGAGTGAACGGGGGGGGGGGGATACAGCAGCATGAAATACCTTTTACAGTGAGGCTGCCTTTTTTACAGAGACAGAGCTCCCTGCAGCAGAGAGGTCAAAGTGTTTCTGGTCCCCATGAGGAGAAGTCTATGTCAGCAACCTCCAGAGGAGACGACCACGGTCAAAACATAGAAGTACAAGTAGCAACTCAATAATGGACAATTTCTTGTTTTGATTTCCAAAACTTGTAAGAAACTCCTGCAGACAGACAGACGAGGTTCCTCGTGTTACGCAGCGATTGGCCTGCATGTCTCCAGGGTTTACACGCTAACAGAGATAAATCCGTCTTCACAAGGACGACTGAATGTTCACCCTATTGATCTCTCTTCACTTTGTCCTCCATCGATCAGGTCATCGACCCCGAGCTGTCACACACACGGAGAAGATGGTTAACAAGAGCCCGAGGCATTACGGAGGCTTCATGATGAGGAGGGTTAACCTTAACTAACAAGCCTCGATTACTGACCACTGTTAGGGACGTTTTTAAGCTGCTAAAGAGACAATCACTGAACCTGAAGCGGGGTCACAGATGCAGCAATAACCGTTGTCTCCAGTTAAAAGACACAGAGAACCGAGCTGGACATGGCACGTTTCTGCTCGTGGAGCTTATTAGAAACATGCAGAGGCTTTTTAGGTCGGGTACAATCACTTCTATCTGAACCACTTCTCTTGACCGCTTCCATCGCTGCAACACCTGTTGACCTGATAACTGCTCTCATATCTGACAAAACGAGGGGCGTCCAAAACGGCCTTAAAAGCGCCTACCTTCTCTGGTCCAAACAAATCCAGAGCATTCAGGAGCAGAATCTAAAGTTAGAAGGAGGACATACTGGCTGCTGCATGTTTCCTTAATGTCTGAATCACTACATATCTTACAGATCAGCGGTTGCAATTGGATTAAATGTAACAATGCCTACATGTATTCTCCCTGACAAATAAACAGCAGGGAAATGGTCAAATAATCCTGATTTGTCTGATTCTGATTGATTTAAACATCAAAGACATTAAACAGGACTGAGCATCTTATCTGAAGCAGAAGGAAATAAGGAAGGAGGCCACTGTGCGAGTACCTCAAATCGGCTGAATTATGAAAATATTTTATTAAAGAGAACAGACAGAGCTGTTTATTATCTGAATCCAGACGTGGAGACGTCTGCTCACTGCCTGTGTGATGTCTCTCTGTGGAGCTCTTTCATGTTTGGGGATGTCTAGACAATAAAAGAACCAGTTGGCACATTAATCAAAGCAGTCCTCTGCTGGGGCCTGAAGTAATAAGTAGGAACCTTTAATATGACGCTTTAAGTAAAAAAACAACACTAAACTGTGAAGTAAATCTGCAGGACTGTAGATAATTGATCCCGGTCCTGCTGCGGCTTTTTATTAAATCCTTGTGTGGCACAGCTTTTATTAACACCCACAATAAAAACCATTAAATGATTACCCAGTCATTGTCACCGACATATCGGATGAATTTCTCTTCATAATCCTGAACTTTCATTTGCAAAAAGGTCAGAAAGTGACAACTCAATTTCACCATGTTAATATGCCGTCGCCATCCTCCTCCGACGCCATGCTCACGTTTAAGAGCAGGACTGCTGTTAGGATGTTTTACTGCTGTGCTCGAGGTTTTATGTTAAATAAACTCAACGGTCTGACATAATGATCAAAATGATTAAAAAGATGTGTTTGAGATTGGAAAATGGAGAGATTACGGCTGTCTGGTGCGAGGGAGTTCTTGAGTCAGGGGGCAGAGCGGGTGAAGGCTCTGGACCCCATGGTGGTCCGGTGGTCAGGACCTGAGAGAACACCTCAGAGTGATTAAAGGAGGGCGTTCTGGAGACGATGTGAGCGGCAGTTGAAGCTTCTGGATGGACTTGAGAGGGAGACCGAGGAGAAGGGAGCTGCTGTAATCAATGCAGGATGTAACCAGGGTGTTGACGAGGATGGCGGTACTGTTGGGTGTGAGGGACGGGCCGAGGCGATTAATGTTGTATAGATGGAAATAAGCGGACCGGGTGACATTATTGATGTGAGCTTGGAATGATGGTGTGCTGTCCAGGATGATGCTCAGACCCTTGACCTAGGGAAGGGAGAAACTGAGGAGAGATCAATACTGAGCGGAAACTGTCAAGTTTTGAAAAAGTGGATTTGGTGCCGATGAGGAGAACCTTGTTGTTTAATTTGAGTAAGTTGCAGGAGAATCAGACAGGGAAGGAGGCGGGAGGGAGGAGGTGGGCTGGGTGTTGTCCGGGATGGATGTTTAATTCACAGAAGATACGGCCAAGAGGAAGTAGAGAGATGATGAACAGAAAGGGGGCCCAGGACAGAACCCTGAGGAACAGCGAAGTAACTCAAAATGGCTGGGACGATCTAAGTGCGGCCAGAAAGATAGGATGTAAACCAGTGCAAGGGTGTGTCTGATCAAAAATGCAAAATGTCCCTTTTATGACGGACTAACCATGATCCTTTTCTCACCAGTTGGAGGAAAATTCCTGGCTGACATTTTTCACTTTCAGAAATCCCCCCATGATGATGTGATCTTACAGCCAGTGGTAAATTATAGTTATTAGTCACATACTTGATATTTGAACAGCTTCCACTTAGGAAAACAGACGTACGAGGTTACAACAGCTTCCAACCCAGAGAAACATTCTCTGTGCATCAGGAGACTAACACACCAGCCTGCTTGTTCGCTGCATAAACTGTGACTCACAGTCCCACTTCTTCCACGGGATGAAGAAGTACAATGGATCTCTGTCATGTTTTCCAGCTCCGACCCAAAACACTCTGCAGCCAGGACTCCTTGTGACTTAAGTCTCCTGTGGTATAATTATGGTGTCAGAACGCCTCGCTTTATTGCACAATGCACGGCTTCATCTGCCAAGTCGCAGCGTGCACAAGGATTGTTTAAAAAAAGAAGAAAAAGGGGGAGCTGACGGGTTAGAGCCGGGTTTAGAGCTTTTAATGCTCTGCGGGTCCTGCTAATGAAGTCTGGAGGTGGTGAGGGATGACAACAGACGGCGGGCTCCGTCACAGACATGACATGCTCAGCGA